CCATTGTAAAATGGATAAACACAATTTCAAGCAGGGGATTTTTCCCTATTATCAACAGTTCAAACAATAATGAAAAACATCCAACGTAAGAATCCATTCGTAAATGACAAACCTGGTAGGAAATGGTTAGAATCATTTTTTAAGAGAAATCGGTCGGAACTTTTTAATGTTTAGCTTAAGGCAAAAAAAAAGAACATGATTTTAAAAACAACATCCCACCAAGAGTCTCAATAGAAAGTATAGAAGTCACTGAAAATATTCTTGTTGCTTCAACTAGTCGTCAGAATTTGTCTAGTACTTTAGAATCGGATGAAAGCAAGTTACCGCGCCGACAAGTACTTCAGAGCTTTATAAAGAAATTACCCCTCCAAAGAATTTTACAAATAATTTGATTGAGATTTTCAAGACTCCTGATATCCCAGTGCAATCTTGTAATAACCGAACTCCAATTTTAAATGAAGATTCAAATTCAAGCCTTGGAATTCCATTTAAAAGAGCACTAATATGGCCAGAAGTCAAAGAAAAGACAAAGAGAAGGAGAAACTTGGAGAAAATTCCATCTGCGACGTCCAAAAAGTGGAAAAAGTTTATGTTACAAAAGGAAGAAAAAAAGAAAAATTAAGAGAAAGCGAAAGAAGAGCGAGAATAGAGGAGAAAAGCAAATGGAACTCCAAGAAAAAGAAAATAAGCAGAGAGCAAAGTCAAGAAAAGACAGCACATCCGATTCTAGTACACCTGAAGAATGGGAAGCTTCTGGAAGTGATAATGATGTACTCTCAGACATTTCAGAAGAATCAGTTGGAAAATCTATTATGTATTAGGAAAATGATTATATATTAGAGACCTTTCCAGGAAAAAAAGGGAACATAGGTATGTGTGCGTAATTCAAGCCCTTCTACCCAACAATGAAGCAGAAGTGGTTGGTTTAAAGAAATGCGATGATGGGAAAATGTTTAAATTAAATTAAGTTGATATCGGTGTTCTCAGTCTGAATCAAATTATAGAGGAACTACTATTTTCAACAATAATCAATTCAGGCGATCGTTTCAAATACGAATTTAAAAAAGAAGTTTTTATTGATGGTTAACTACAATTCATATCTAAGTTGATTTTTAAGTTTAATTTTTTTATTAGACTTAGGTAATAACTTTTTTGTTATACTTGACAGAATTTTTATTTTATATACATACATATAGATACAATTTACAGTGTCCTTTTTATTTCTGTTCTTTTTGCTTGCACATGCCAAACTTGGCATTGGCCATTACTGGCCAATTACAGTGGCAACCACTGGATTTTCTAAAATATGATTGTGACAATTACTAGTACTTTTGACTAACAAGAAAAAGTATTTCATATTAAAGAAAAATTCACATGTTTTGTAAGATATTACAACTAATATCTCTCAGTGAATCATTACTACATACTATGATTTTTGGTAAACAAAAGAAAAGTCAAGTTTTATATTTTCTACAATTTAATTCATGTAAATGCTTGTTTATAATGGCAATTACTGGTGCCTTTACCAAAATCATTTTCATAAAAAAATTATTAAAAATGAATTTAAGAAATGGTGCTAAAAAAAAGTATAAGGTAGTAATCATAATACAATGCAATGCCCCTCATTGATTAGCTAATAAAGTAAATTTTAAGCGTTTTTTAGGATGTTTCAAAGAATGCGTCCTTATTTTCAATTTTAAATATTTAGAGCATTGTAAGTAAAACAACGGTGAAACATGGTAAGATTGAATCTGGGTAGTTTTAGAATGTTTGGATATCTTAAGTTTACATTATGTACATCTCCTCGATATAGTAATTTGTCCTTTAAATACGCAGGTTGAGAAGTCCACAAAATGTGAAAGATTAAAGCCGACATTTGTAATTTAAATAAATTTTCTATTTTGAGCCATTCTAATTGTTTTATTTTAAACCAAACTCTATCGTACTTTTTTAATCCAAAAATAAATTTACAACATGAGTTTTGGATTATTTGTAATCTATATTTCGTAAATTGATATAAACAAAGATAAAATAAAACCAAGCAATAATTTAAAATGGATAAAACTCTCACAAAGAAGTTTTCCTAAGGGAAAACTGAAAATTCCTTGGTTCCTATAAAATTGACGAAGAACTAAATAAGATTTCTTTACCAACAATGAAATGTGCTCTTTAAAACGTAACTTGCAATCAAAGATAATGCCAAAACTTTGGCGCTACTAACAAAACTTTCAACGGTTGGTTTTCAAAGACCAGTTTGATATTTATTAAGCAACTTGCATTGACAGTTTTTGAATAGATCACTTATTATTACCATTTAATTTTAGATTTTGAGCTTTAGAATACTCTGTTAGAATACTTTGCCACTTCGTTTAAGTCTCTCAGAAACACTAGTGAAGTTTTTTAGATCAAATGAGCAGTATGGTTGAGTGTTATCGGCAAAAGTTTGAATTTTAACGTAATTTACAACTAAATTTATATCGGCAGTGTAAATTAGAAAAAGTAAGGGACCCAGTACAGAACCTTGAGGGACTCCAGAGGTTAAACTTAAAAGTTTGATTAACTACTATCTAGAACTACTTCTTTAAAATTAAAAATGGATAATTATACAAACGAATTTCTTAATTTCGTAAAATGTTTAGGTTATTTTTTGTAGATTAAAAATCCAATAGGAAAAGAAAATCGTTTAATAATAATCCACATTAGAAGCACTGATAGATTTTTGCCAAAATTAATTTTGGAAAGTAGATATAGCAGAGGAAAACTTAATAAACCTTATAACAATAAACATCAGAAAAGACAATGATAATGATATCAATAGTAATAGTGAAGACAGTAACTTTTAAAGATAGTTCTTGTACTTCTAATTATTTTTATTTTTATTTTTTGATTTTAGGTTTTGAAGTGTTACTTTTAATGCCAAGAGATTAAAAAAAGTTTAATCCCAATAATAACATATAATCCTCCTTGTTATTTATTAGTTCAATGTAATTCGTTCAATGTTAATGTTCAACAATTTTATCAGAAGCATAAGATTCATTTTTGTAAATAATAACTTTTTTCATTCAAAATTTAATTGCGTGTATACCATTTTATATGCATTAACCTTATTTATATTATAGAAACTTATTTAGCGAAATACGCCTATGGAATGTTACGTTATATCCCTACTTTTACTGCAATGCTCTTTTATTCAAAACCAAGATGGATATACTTAGATAGCAAAACCTCAGCTCGTAATAATTGATATACACATAAATGTTTTCTACATACGAGTAAGTAAAAGTAAAAGTTGATACAACAAGTAATGTCATTAAGTAATTTTTTTTATAGCAATAACTATATTTTATAAATTCTACATTCTTTTAAAATTATCTTTAAAAATAAATTTATAATGATCTAATTTATTTGATAAAACTATTTTTAAAAGAACTTTTTCTGATTATAGGGAATGATCAGCTTTAAAGTAAATACCTGTCATAAAAATACAAATATATTTAACTGTCAGACAAATTATTAACTTTTAAAATTTTGAAATAACTTTAAGATATATTTAAAATAAATCAGTTTTATATCAAAATTATTCAAATATTTTTTAAATAGAACATTTGATGATATTAGCACGACTGTATAACTAAAAAATAATTAACAAAACTAATCGTAGTAAACATTGTTCTCATTATTTTTAATTTGGTAAACATTTATTTTTATTGTTCTCGATAGTTGCCCAATTTTAATTCAACTAAATTACTTCATTTTTAACTAAATATTAAAATAAGAATTTATAAAAGAATTCATTTAAACGAAAAAATAAACACATTATCAAATCGAGATAGGTACATTTTTCATAAAATTAACTGTATAACTGTTGAAAGAATTCCACTTCTCATTAATCTTCGATTGAAACCATCTTTCGGTGTCTTGTTATTTTTGAATTAAACATAAACATTTTAAAATTAAATCGATATGTTTAAAACAATTTGAAAATAATAATTCTAAACTAAATATAATGAAAAATATATTTCAATTAGGTAATTTTTCATCGAAAATTCACAAAATATTTGAATAAATAAACAAATTTAATAGAAAAATCAAGTCCGAGATCTCATCTGCTATTTTAAGCTGCCACAGACAACATTTTAAAACAAATTTGCATGTCGTACTTTTCCTTTCAATCATTCATTAAAGAAAGAAAACTATTCTTTTTTAAAATATTTGTTTATGAATAAGAATATAATGAAAGTTAATTTTTTTCATTCTCACTTTTTTTCTGAATGATTCAATAAATATTAATATTTTTACCAATATAATTTTTATTATTCCATCAATTTATGTTATATTTATCACTGAGAATCATTATTCACTAAAATTTTTATAAAATCTAAATGAAGTCTTTGAAATAATGATTCTATTTCTTTTTGCCTCGTTGGTAAAGGGGTTATAATTTGTCAGAAAAAGCTTACTTTGATAAATACTACTATTAATTTTAAACTTTACTTTATTTACCAACAATTTGTTTGATAATAAATATTTAGAATATATGTTTTTTCTAATATTATTTTTATTAAAAAGCTATTAATAATGTGGTTATTCTCTTTGTTCTAAGAGTTATAAAAAGTAAATTTTGATTACTCATCCTACTATATTTAGTTTATTGTTTTTACTAGATAAAAATTTGAATACCGTTATTGAGAAGAAGTCAAAAAAAAATTTCTTGCATGTTTGCATTGGTCAAAAACGTATCTCATATTAAGTAAATATAATTAAAGAGGATTTCAATTTTGTGTTGTTTACACATTCGGTGGTATATTTTGTGAGTTTTTAAATTTTTATACAGTTTTTCTTTTGCTAAATGTTTTAAAAATATCGTTACACACTGTTGTTGAATTTGTCTCATTAAAAATATTGTTTTTAATAATTTGTTTTGAAATATAAACATTTGTAGTGTCGTTTTCAAAGCAATTTAACAAGGTATGAAGAAGATGGTAAGTCTAACGACTTACCATTAATTTTTGTGGTAGCAGGAATAGCAGCCGGTGCAGCAGGATCCTCATCTTCCAGCAGTCGAATCGGCCTGGCCTGCTTCCTTCTGGACATTATCACTGCACAAGTCACTGTCCACAAAAAAAAAATTCACTTAACTAGCGGCACTCATGTTATCAGTTATTATCGGTTTGATTGGTGCAGGTACCATACGATCTGATCGGCGTCGCGATGCTGTCTAACAAGCGCCGATCTGCGTGGAGGGGGTTCAGTTAAGGGCGGTGCGTCCGTTTCACCCTCGTGCGACTTCGAGATGATTCGGGCGGCGCTCGCGTATGGGAATTTTTGCGAATGATAACACTGAATGATAAGGGACCACTGGCACTTTTCAAATTTCGTCCTGTCCAGGTGGCTGGGGGCGATGTTGTGACAATTGAATGTCGGCGGTGAGTGTGTCGAGCGGTCGTCCAACTCAGCGATCGGCATTTGACTAAATGACTATCTCGGGCGGCACGGTAAGCACCGCCTTCTAAGTTTACCTGCGTTGGAGAGGGGTTAAATTCACTCATTCAGATGATTCGCCTTGCCTTTAAACGATTCATAAATCATCGATGATTTTTTAGATGATGGAGTTGGAGTAAATGCGCTAGATACTAATATAGTAGACAGATATTAATTATTATATATAATTTAAAATAAAATGGTCGAAGGAAAGGTAATGTCTGTTTTTAAATAATACTTATATTTTTGAAAAAGTATTATTAGAAAAGATTAGGGGTTAGTACGAAGATGTGAGGAAAAGATCCTTTTATTTATTTTTTATTTATTTACAAAAAACATCAAAATATATTGTGCATAAGTTAAATACCTACATACGCTTAAAAAAACACAATATGTGAAAAAAAGCGTATGTCTGTAAAAATGCTTTACAATTTTACAATTTGAAAATTAAAATAAGTAGGTTTTGACACATTGGACTAAAAATTCTATAAAACAGTTATAAAAATATGATATTAATTTTTAAGTTATGAAGGGAATCCAACCTCTCAAATGTGGCCATCTTCAATGAGAAAATAAAACAACTCCAAATCAATCCCACATTTATATGTGGGATTGATTTGGAGTTGTTTTATTTTCTCATATTAATTTTTCATTAAGATTAAGAATTGATTTTATTTTTTTTGAACTAGTACAAAATATATCTAGGCGATCCTCCAAATCGAGATAAACTTTGACCATTTGATGTATTGGCGAAGAAGATAGAGTATTATTCCTAGAATTGTTAGTTGAAAACTTACACAAATTCGTAGTCCTGGTCTGGGAACTCTAAGTGATATATATTTCATTAGCTCAATGCTGTCCACTTTATTATGTAAAAGATTATACAGGAAGAGCAATTGATGTGATGCCCTGCGATATTTTAGTTCCTTTAAATTAAATCTTGATAGCAAATCACTATGTGGAAAACCTCTAAGAGGATATTGACCTTTCAAAATGTAGGAGCACGACTTCATGAAGCGTTTCTGAATTTTTTTAAGGTTTTTAATATAAATAATATAAATACTCAGCAAACATTTTGGTGTAATTTGACGTCGATACTACCTAAATTATATATAATAAATTTGGTCGCAAAATTAGATTTAACCATAATTAAGTAAAATTTACGTTGGCTCGACGTGGATTCGACATAAGTGGAGAATAAGACGACGTCGAAATTTGGTTTTATTTACCAAAATAGGTAGAATTACATCTAAATCCATATTGTAGTAGCCCAGTACGTTTGGTTAGTAATACCTCTCTAGGGAAATTTGACGTCAGTATAACGTTAATTAGACGTTGATTTAACTAAGTTTAGGTAGAAACTACCAATATATTTGCAGATGACGTATGCCTCCAAGTGTACGAAAAGAAATTTTATACTTATTTGGTATTTTTATCTACATATAAGTAGAAATATTGTAAGAAGTCACCAACACAACTAAAACATATATCTAATTCACATGAAAGATTAAAAATAAATAAATTTCGGTGACAAAAATATATGTAATGTAATTGTGGTGAATATACAGTTCACGCTTGTTGAAATTAATGCGAAGAAAATTTTGTCGTGCATGTTAACACTTCTACTTAGAAAAATAACAATGCCCTTCCAAAATACTCTCTAATTAAAAAAATATAAGAAAAAATATGATCGTGTAAAAAAATAATAATAATAGTATGAGCTAAAACTGTGTTACGTTTGTTGTGTATCACTTTAGAAAATCAATAATGTTTCATTTTTCGGTATTTTCATTCGTATGTTTTAGTTATGGTCATTTTAAAAATTTAAAATTTGGAATCGTACTTTAATTACGTTAAGAAAATATGGCGTATTGTGCGAATTCGACCTAAAAGTTATTATGACTAAGGAAATCTACGTATTTTACAAATACCTTTTTACTAAGTTAAATTAACTTCAATTTCACGACATATTAGTTAACTTTACCTATTTCAGGAAATAATAACTTATAGGTTTTATAAAAAATTTACCTATAGGTAAATATGACATATTTAGGTCACGTTGTTCTGCACTTGAGATTTTAGACGTTTCACTTTACGATAAAAATCGGAAGTATAACGATATGATTTATTATTTTTCGAACTCATTTTATTAATTATTTTTCACACTCATTTAAAGCTCTATCTACACCACACGTAAATTAAGATTACGACTGTAATGGTTTTTTTTTAAAATGGCCGAAATTCTTAAGAACAATGACGAAGACAGTAACTGAACGACTTAATTGTTAAAATAACCTAAATAATATAAATTTTACAAATAGGTCATGTATGACTCTTTTTAAATTGGTGGTTTTCAGTCGAATTTACTTTGTGGTAGATTTTTCAGGTAATTGCTACAACAAAGTTAATAAATATTTCTTCAAGATGACTTATAGGTCAATTAAATGAGTATTCGACTATTTGGTTGAAATTAGGTAGATAAACAGGTAGAATTTTGCTACGATCTCGACCTAATATTACTTTAAAGGAGAGTAAATAAAAGCGGCCAAATAGGTTACTATGGGGGCATAAAATTACGTAGAATTTTTAACCAAATCTGCCTAGTTGGATATTCTACTATAAAGACGATTTTTAGTTGCCAAACAGGTAGATATTACCTAAATATGGCACCTAATTTTACTACAAAGGAAATTTAACTTTGAAGTAATTGTTGGTTATTTTTTTTAGTAGTTTTTCCCTTGCTGATATGGTTAAAGTTACTTTTAAGCAGATTTGTGTAAAAGGTAGATTTCTTGGTATAATTTTTTTGAATTATATCAGGTATTGGCAATTAGATTATATTAATTTTTTTAACCTTATTTAAAATATGCCTTCTTACATAAAAACATAAAAATAACTACATATCGGTGAAGTACCACTTCACAAAAAATAAATAATAAAACATAAAAATAACTTTCTGATTTTTTAGTATTTGTCAAAATTATATTCGAGATTCACAAAAACGTTTAAACATTTTTAACAATATTAAAACCAACACTGAAGAGGCTGGTTCGTCGTCCTTAAAGCCTTTTTATTCCACGAGATGGTGTCTTCATATAGAACCTTTAAAATCTTTGACAATATAAAGAAGTGTGTGAATTTATGACAAACCAAAGCAATGAAAAAAGCGAAGTAGGAGCGAAGTTAAAATGCTGTTTTTTGGAAAAAAAATGCATTCATTTGAATTTAACTTTTTTTCTGAAAATATTAATAAATATTTTTAAAAATATAGAAGTTTTAAACACTTAAATTCAAAAAGTTGACATAAACATTGCAGATGCAATAAAAAAGATTGATTGCCTTGCTAAAATACTTCATTCTCAACGAACTAATTAAAAAAAATGCAGGAACAAATAGTCAGTGAAAAGTATAATTTTAATATCGATGAACCAGTTTGGCTAAGAAAAAGAAAGGTTCTTCCTAAACTATGTGGGTCAAAAATATCTATACAAAATGCTTATATTATGAATTCAAAGTATTCACAACCGTTTTTCAAATGGAATAAAAAAGCACGAGAGATTGAAGCTTTTTTATTCAGGAATACTATCGTAGCCATTTTGATACCAAAAGACCCTCTTTACACAAAAAATGATTTTTCATAGTACCGTAGGACAAAATTTTCAGTCAGTATCAGAGATATTTTAATCAAAATGTACATCTAGAAGATTAATTTTCAGAATACGTTAAAGTTCTAAAATTATTTTTTACCATTCCTATACCATCATGTACTTCTGAAAGAAGATTTTCAAATTTACGAAGATTGAAAATATATTTAAGCACAACGCTGACGTTGGCCAGCTGAATGACTGCATTGTCTTAGAGGTATCTGTTAAAGGAACAATATAATTTCAAAATGTATTTATACAACGAAATACTAACAGACTCATTAGATTAATAATTATTGTTATAAATTTTAGCAGATATATTATTAGTGGACACCATCGGCAAAAACTGTGAATTATCGATCTATTGTTACTATTTTATTTAACGAATCACTGAGAGAACAATTTGTTAGCATTAAAAAATAGTAGTTTGTGCAACAAGGGTGGATATGATGGCCATATCGCACGAAGACGAAATCTTCTGAGTGCGATGTGGACAATCCAGTCAAGTTGTACAGTATCTTTTTTTTACGACCCACTAACAAAAATTTACAAATAAAAGAAATATTTTATGTTATTAAGACACAATAACTAATTTTAAAATAATATATGACTTTTAATAATTTTTAAAATAAAACAAAATAAACGAAAAAAAAAAGATTTAATTTAAAAGTCCTCAGCCGAAGCTCAAACTTGCGTGTCTCGCATGAAAGGCAGATCCTCTAACAAGTGATGCCGCGAGACGAGAGATTCTCGTCTCTCGTCTCGTCTTGTCTCGTCTTGAACGAGACATTTTTCTCGAAAACAGATTCTCTCGAGCTCTTTTCTATTTTCGGATGAACGTGCGTGTTTAGCAAAGTGTTCTAAATATTTAAGAGAGTGCTCACTATCCATCTATTTGCATATCCCACAGTTCCAGCAGGGCAACCCTTCATCAATAATTCAGACATTCTTTTTCTAGGGAAAATCACA